TGCGCAGTTTCGATTCCACTGTCCAGGAATCAGCCAACGAAGTACTCCGCATCCTCCAAACAAACAAGATCACGACCGACCAACTCAAAGAAGCGGCCACTCGCTATGACTTACCACTCAATCGAGTGAACAAACTTACAATCAAGAGCCTACAGCAAATCGTCAGCGTGGGAGCAGCTGTGGCCTGCTGACTCTCCCTGTCCAGCCAATTTCAGCCGCTTTCCACACACTCGCAACACCTCCACCGATTACACCAAGCCCTCTCCACTCTCATCCACTACAGCCAATACATCGAACGCGCCGAAGCCATCTTTGCAGTTGGCCTCATCCACATCACTCTCCTTTTTTGCTACCCATCGTCCACACAACGCTCCCAACAATGGTGCCAACGACTGCAACACCTCCATGTGCTTCCCCACACATACCATTATCACCACTTTCTCTCCCCCAACTCGGTTTACATCAAGCTCTATTTCAACACCCTCCCACCTCAGCGCTGTTACCATCAGCATGGCCACTTCTATGTCGGCTCCACCAGCATCGGCGTCCCCCACAGGGAACACAACCGTCGAGCCAAACTAAAACAACTACAGAACAACATACCAGTTTCCGCTGAACTTTCCTTACGCTACTGGCATTCTCATAACAATATGCATCACTTCACTCCAATCCAAATCTCCTCCCATGACAACTACGATCAAGCCTGGATCCAAGAACATCATCACATTTCCAATTGGATGCCACCTCTAAACTGGCCTTTCATCTCCCACCATCTCAAGCTCAAAGCAGAAGGCTGGCAGTTCACCAAACATCGAGCGCATTTCTACTCCAGCCTCGCCACCCACAGGCGCCTCTTTCGCAAGCTTCGCAGACGACAACAGACTCTTCGTGAACCATACCTCTTTACTTCTACCAAGCACCATGCCCTCACCCTCCTTCGCAATCTCACCAAACACACGCTTGCCTCCTTCGAAGCAGCCAAGCAGCTCCGCAGTGGACGCCACACAGACCTCGAAGTCTATGCCATCCGACGTAATGCCGCAAATCTTGAAGAGCCAAGTCGCACCCGAGCACTGCACATTATCAACAAAGCACTCCATTACCGGAATTTGACCCCTCCCAAACCCAACATTCCTCTCACCGTGCCCTTCTTGGCTCACCCAGATTTCACAAAGCACTGCCAGCAGTGGTTGCAGACCACCATCCAGCAACACAAACATTTGGCCATCCCACTACACCTCCCCACACATCGCCTGCGAGAAGCTGCGCGCAAGACACTCCGAGCGCAGCTCCACAACCACCGCACCTGGGAAGAAACCCTACACACTCCGCCACATTCCAACGACCTGCCGTGTGCTTGTGCCCACCTCCGCACTCTGCTTCTTGATCCAACCACATCCACGGTCAATGACCACTGCATTCTCACACTTGACCAATTGCAGCTACCACCACACCTACGCATTTTCCTTGCCGCCAACATGAACAGCACCTTCTACCCCAGCAAAGCCAGGTACTTCCTCACCTTCCAAACAGCCTTTTCCAAATGGCTACGAGTTCAGGGCCTCCCAACCTCCCTTGTTCAACGCCTGGAACCTTTTCTTCAGCATCAATGGCGACTCCACACCACCCATCTCAAACAACAACCACGCTTCACAGCTCGTCTTATCCGTCAACTTCAAGAATTTCTTGGCGATAAGGTTGTTCTCCACCAGCTCCGCATTTTCTGCCCACGCCAATACTTCGCCGGCGCCCTGAACACTTGGCACTCTCCTGAACTTTTCGAACCACTTCCACATTTGAACTCCTCCAATATCCACGACCATCTCGCCGCCACTATTCCAGCTACCCTACGATCCAAATACAAATGGGGATTCCTTAAGGATCTCACAATCCCCTATGGCATCGTCCACCTCAGTGGCAGAAGGGACGCACCATCATATCGTATTTCCAATCCCTCAGTGGCAACCTTCTGCGTATTTCCAGCCGAGCACTTGACACCATCTTGCAACACCTCTACCCCCAGCACCCAGGCCAACTCTCCATTCCCCAACTCTGGCGCCACTTCCAATGCTACCTTACAGACACACCGGCCGACATTACCCTGCGCGCGACCAACGATGACCTGGTCGGTTTCTTCAACTCAGTTCCGCAACATCGGCTTATTGATGCCGTCCATTCCATGATTCAACACTGGCAACGCCAGAACACTACGCACACCCTGACAGTTGACACCAAAGCCACAGGCAACCCCCTTCATCACTCCCACATTGGCAAACATTACACACAGCACCCCACACAACGGACCCTCCACACTTCTGACATAACAACCATTGTCGCCTTTGCACTCAACACTTGCATTTTCCGGGCATGCAACAACACTTACAAGCAAATCTGAGGGGCCGGGATTGGCTCCCAGCTCTCTCCTGCCCTACGCAACGTCGCTATCACTTTGATCGAGCACTCCTGGCATCAACTCCACAACAACCTCCTTCAACACACTGCTCTCCACTTTACCTACTACCGTTACGTGGACAACCGCTTCATCGTGCACAACGAGCAGTTCCTATCCCACCCAGCCATCCAAACACTTATCCACCACAACTTCTTTGGCGACCCAGTCGAACTTGAGCCGGTCGACGACTTTCACCTTTTGGGCTTCAACATTGACCTTCCACAACGCACCATCACCTACATTCAACCCACCCAACCCTGGAAAATCAGGGATCACACCACGCCGGTAGCCAGCGCTTGGCTCTTTCCGGCTTAGCTTCCAGACTCCATGCCATCTACACCTACACTTTTCCACAACAACACGCAACAGCAGCGGCTGAAGAGCTGATACGCCTCTATGTCCAAAAGGGACATGACCCTGCAGCCTGCAGACGGTTTTTGAAAAAAGTCCACCTACCATGCTACACTTGCGCCGACATCGGCGTGTTGTGTGTGTCCAGCCCTGTTCCGAAGGGTTACTTTCCTCCCGTTGTTCATGATTTCCAGCAGGGGATGGAGACACCTGTATTGCTTCTCCATCAACGAAGCTGGCAATACATGGTGAGGATATCAGTTCCGGACGCGGAACTGACGTACTTGCGAGAACTTTTACAAGCTGTCCAACTCGCACGGTTTGATTCATGGTGGTTCCACGATACTTCCCCCAAACCTTTCGTCCTCCAGCCTTTTTCAGCAGCCGCGCGTTTTTGCAGCATGTCATTGTGAGCAAACCTTTTGTTGAAACATCTTCAACTCATCGGACCTTTCACCGTGCCGTTCCATCACCATTTTCCTGGAAATTGAGTTAACTAAAAACCAATGTCAGAGTGTGTGTTGGGGTGTTTAGCAGGTGAACAGTGCGGTTCTTTGGGTTCCATAGGGGTGGCAAATGATTCTTGGAGGTATGCCCACTGGACGCGGCGGCTCTATTGCGTGTTCCTGTACCAGGTGGCTTTCCACTCGCACCGCAGTTCCACGGGCTGGGTTGCATGGCGTCGTGCGTACCTGGGACTCATAACGGTCATAATTAACGGTCTCACGGGCTTTCAACATCTTCGAGCCGAATTTGGAATTGATTGACCTAACTCCACTCGGCTTCAACGGGCACGTGCAGCGTGGATTTGTGCGCGTGGTGCTTGACAAGTCAAGATTGAAATTCGCGAAAGCTTTCCCGACAATAGTTCTTATTGTAGCTTTCGCGCAGCTTTCGCAAACCTTTCGGGACCTGCGTCGTAGCTTTCGCCAAAGCATGCGAGATTACAGATTGCACAACTTCCTTCATAGAGGATATTGAAGTTACTCAATCCTGCAATGCTGTGTTGCTTGAAAGCAGCCTTTGGACTTGACACTGCTCCATATTCAAACGCAGCGTAACGGCGTCGGGTGCATTTCTTGGGGCCCGGTTGAGGTACCCCAAAAGCGCCCTCGCCTTGAAAGAATTTTCCATATCGGTATGGCTATCGTTTTCTTCATGGGCTGAACAGTGGCGGGTGAAAGACACTTAAAAGAGGATAGACCGAAGAGCGTGGGGCGAACATACAAAGGACATGTTTCCATTGAATTCCAATGACACTTAAAGCATGTGATCAACAAGCCAAAACTCATGGAAGAGTCGAAGAAACCTCACACAAAACCCTGCGTAGCAAAGTGCCGCTCATGAGCAATCGCCTGGGAGTGTATTCAGACATGCTTGAAGTCATTGATGGAATCGCACGAGTGAAGTTGACCAATCTTGGAGGGGTTCCGATGACGGTTTGAGACCACATGGTTCACATCCATGGCCACACTTGATATAGTTTGGGCATGAAGCCAAGCAGTGAAGGATTTGCAACGTGCTTGCAGAAGTTGCCACACGGTACAATCTTGGGCATCTATATATATATATATTATATAAATATCATTAAATATCTATATATATAAGAGGTTCAGAAATGCCTTTCCCACTTTGAATCGTTCTGACGGAATATGGACACAACCAACGACAAAGCACTTGGTCCTCTTGCGACACCTATTACGGGACTGCTAAGTCTACCTTGCTTTTTCGAGAGAGCGCGTACGGCGTATCCCCAAGCCCAAGCTGGAGCAGCTTCAGCCCTCAGTGATGCATCATCAGCCACAAGCATCACGTGGTGAGTCTCTAGCTCTCGACGGGTATAGAGCAAATCTTTCAAACATAGAACAAAAGCAGTAACAAGGAAGTTATTAGGTGGAGGCCATCGCAAGTAAGTAGGTTGGAGGCCATGGCTATTAGTAACACGAAGCTACTAGTAACAAAGGGCAGCGCTACTAGGAGCAAGAAGTTACTAGTAGGCTGCGCAGCCTCCCCGCCACAACATCGTGGGGATGTCTCCGAGCAAATAGTCATGGTGGAGTGCCGGTCGTCGGACGCTTTTTTAAATATATTGTGGACGTAGAGTAGTTACCTACGGCAATGTGGAAGCGCGAAACACGTTGTGATGTGACGCATTACGAGTCCCTAAGGTTGGCCGCGGCTGCGAAGCAATTCATGGGCGGATAGCTATGGCAGCTATGTGTTGTACGTGGCAAGCGCACAGAAGCTTCGTGAAAACACTCGCTTTGACAGCGCGGCGGTGCATCAAAAGAAACTCTGCAAATGGCCTCATCAAATGCCATTCCGACATATTCCGACTCTATTCATTCCGTTTTGATCGTGACTACTGAAGTTTCACACAATGCTTGTTATCGTGCTTATTCTATCCAACTCGCCTGACTCGTCATGCAAATCGGCCGGCCACTCAGGCACCAGGGAGCTGATCTCAGAATCTTGACTCGGCGCTCTGTTCTCTTTTGAGCTGAGACACCCGCCGGAGTCTCTAATGAAACGCCCTTCTCCTTAGAAGAAATTCTCTCTCTCTCTCTCTGTGCAGACTGCTGGGCAGCCGCAAATTATTCTGGACCCAAAGTATCTCACATTACTTGGGTCCAAAGTATACAATTTGTGAAACAAAGCCGGGTCGGCACCATAGACAAATGTCGTGCGGATGTGACGCTCCGTCTGTCCTCGCAAAGTTGAAGCCCAGCTATAGCAGTGAAGACCTCGCTTGGGAATTGTTGCCTTTTCTGACAATTTACAAGCTCAAGCCTTGGAGATAGAGAAGAATTTGAAGACTGTCTCAGAGTTGTACTCCCCAAACCTCGAATGCTTTTGATGCGCAGCTGGATTCAGGCTGCAGTGCACCGTCCTTGTTTGCACTTGTGTGAACTGTTCTGGGCATCTCGGGGGGCATAAAAGTTCGGCATCCAAGCAACTCCCAAATTCCAACCACCTGACTGACTGTCTTTGTCAAAGCTGAAGAACAAAATCGGGACAGAGCCTTTCCAGCTCGCACCACTGCCAGCACGCCACCTTTCAGCTTTCCTGTTTGTATATACCTGCAGGCCGCCTCCACTTCCCAGTCGGAATAATCTACCAAATATATAAAAGCAACCCTTTGCCATGTCCAATGCAATTGTGGTTCAGGCTGTTGCAGCCACAAAGTAAAAACAACATGTCATGTCAAAAAACGACACTTTCCCCAGCCAACCCGACCGTGGTGCCAGGATGTTCAACCACTATTAGGGCGCTGGCAGAGTTCTCTCTCGTTGTGCACATGTGAAGCCTGCCCTAGCTTTTGCAAGGCACATGGGCATTGACATTGGCACATGTGTTTTTTCCTTTTTGTGGTAGTACTCTGATAGGTCAACCCACCCCCCCTTGCGCACTTTGCTTGCAATGGTAGACACAGCCTGCACCTACCACCCTGCAAGGCTGGTAGGCCACCAACTAACTCCAGAAGCTATATTGCATATGCTGGGCCACAAAGAATGTGAAACACGAGCCCAGCAAACTCAGTGAAACAGCAAACAAATATAATTTATACGTAGGTGTGCTTCTCAATCACTACCATCACCAGCGTCTTTTCTGACACGGAGTAGGCAAACAAACTCGGGATTTGGGGCTGTACATGCTCTTCCGTTTCTACCAGGTTCTGCCGTCTTTTCTAACTTTGCCCCACAAAAAAGTGCCGTGCAGCTATGAGCGAGTCATGGCGTGGCGAGAAGGTGTGTGTCATGGAGCGCCCATCCAGGTTCTTCGCAAGCTCGACGCAAGCAAGCACCGTGCAGCATTGCAAGCAAGATGAAAAACAATGAAAAACAACTTGTTCTTTGCATTGTTTGCACATTTCTTTACCACACCTTTCAACACGAAAAGGACCAAGGGAGCTGGGTAACGGAGACGCACAAGAGTTGGGTAAAGAAATTGAGCATGAATGTTTATAATGTTTGTTCCCCAACTGCCAACGGCGTACTTCCGTTGGTATGGCCATTCAATAGGCGTAGCGGCGTAGAATGGTGCATCATGCCTTCTCTTTGCAAGCTGGCCTCTGGTTGGCATTTGCTTGTGGCTGAGTTGGACGTGAGGGAGGCTCAGCAATCGACAATGAATGCGAAGTTTGATGCTTCGTTGGCTGACAGGCGAGACTGGACAGAAGTGGGAGAAGGTCTCCTGGCAGACCCAAACATGCAGCTGGCTGAGTGGGCCAAATGGAGTCCCTGAAAGTGTAGAATTCATTCTATTCTTTTTAGGGGGGGGCGCTTCACAACTTGTGCACGCAGCTTGAGTCTAATCCTTTTGGAGTGGGGGGGCAAATTTTGTTGATTGAGCTTTGCGTCGATATCTGTTGTGGTCATTTGCCAGGACACTTGGGCATGTCCCAGTGCTCAAACTTTCGCTTGAAACCTTTTCTGCAGACCACCTTTGATGCAGATTTCAGGGTCGTCCATCAACTTTTTCGTCTGGTGTGCAAGCACACCTTGAGATAGCAGAAAATATTTTAGTTAAAACACCTGAAGATGTTCACCTTGGTTGATTCTGTCAACATGTGTTTTGTCCTGAGATGCTTGACAGGGTTGGTCAGGTGATTTCTGATTTTGTAGGTAATCAGCCGGTGAAGACTTTGCGAGGTCTTATATAGTAATATAGCACACCTTAGAAACTCAAGGTCTTAAATACGCGACTGATGCCGCGCCACCCTTCCAATCTGTCAGGGACCCTTTGACCCTGCGTATCTATACATATGTTAGATATATAATATCAATCTATCCATCCATCCATCCATCCATCTATCTATCTATCTATATATGTATATTAAAATGTAGATGTACCAGTAGGTGTGATCCCTGAGGCAAGCATACACATTCATCAGGCTTTGGCATCTCCAGCTTGCAGCTCGAGGCCTTCTTTCCAGGTCTTGTGCCAATCCTTCAAGCTTTGCCAGGCTTAGACCTTCCACTTCCCCTGGAGATGCTCAGAAGAATCAAACACGAGGTCCAATATGTTGCACCAGCACCTGAGCCTCTCACGTGGTGACTTGGTCGAACATCTTTTAACTTGTAACCTGCGCCCCAAGCTTTCCAACCCCAAGCCGTCAAAGCTTTGCAACCTTCATCGCTACATGCGACATTCACCTCCGCTCATCCTTGACATTGTTTCCCACAGTTGTGAGCTACAGTTGGTGCCACGTATGCCGGACCCCACGCCTAGGTGTTAGAGCAAGATTTGACCAATGGAAAAGACCTGGAAAGGTTGAAGAGCACTGTCGACCCTGGAAGGGTCTAGATATCTTTCAACAATATCTCTAAAAAACAAAAACACGGCCGGCTTGATTGAGAGAAACACGTTCTTTTTGCACACACACTTTCTTTATCTTACTGCTGCTTGGCTCGGATTGAACGAGCCTGCAAGCACACAGGCTCCTAGCACAGCCACAAGTGTCACAAGTGGTCACAGTCCGCTATTTGGGACCTTTTCACTTGAGACCATTTCACCTTTGTTTTTCTCTTAACTTGTGTGTACACAGCAGGGGTCAGGGAAGGATGCGCGCGCCCTGATCTACAATAAATTAGGTTGCTGGTTTTGGGGGTTGTGCTGACTGCCGAGCGCAGATCCGACTTGTTTCACTTCGAAGTGCAGATTGGTGGAGGTGGGCAAAATGCAACTTTTAGATCGAATGTCACGTCATCCGGTATGTGTCCCTTGTTCGTGTGCTCCAGCATGCCATGTGCATATGTGTGCTCATCGCATGTGTGCCCATAGTGTGTGCTCACACTAGTATGAGTGCTCCTGTAAGTTGGCCAAATGCTTCCTCATGCGACTCATGTTTATGCAGTCGGCTTCGTTACCGGCCCACGTTTTGAGCTATTTGTGCTTTTGATGTTTTTTCCTGGCATCTCGGTGGGGAACATTGTCATCGAATTCATCAAATATATGATCTTCAGTTTCACAAAAATGTTATCGATGTATGGATGTTGTATGATGTTGCCATCGGTTAGCCGTATACTTAAATTGGATCATGGGACCAATATATCTGATACGTCCAGGCTTCGGTCGAAAGAACTTTTCGGATTTGCTTCAGTCGGATGAGCAACAAAGATGTGTTTTGGAGGTGCTTTTACAAACACAATAGTCGTTGGAATTTGCGCAGCTGAGGAGCGATGACGAATCCGAAGCTGCAGTATGTCGGGCGCATGCAATGGAAGTGGGAGCACGTAGGAGAAGACCTACAGTACGTACTTTCATGTATTTTTACGGTGCAGAAGCTTGCCTTCTCGAAACAGGACCTTTCTATAAATTTTAGAGACCTTGCCCCCCCCCCCCCAAAAGCATTTCGCCAGCACGAAAATGACAAAATCAGTGAGCGGTTTCCGGGCCCGCGGCATGTTTATGCGTGCTATCATATTATGTACGTCATATGTTCATGTCTCAATTTGTGTTTCTTCATGTGTGCATTAAATCCTTTTGTGTCCTTATGCTGACATGTGGCGGGCCCATACTGTGCTCTAACATGTGTCCCCATGTGGGTTCACACTTGTGCTCCCAAATGTGCGCTCACATGTTTGCTGACTTGCAAATATCTTGCAAGGGTCCAACTGGCTCAAACACCCTTCACCAAGTTTGGTATGCACCCCCAAAACAAACTGTGCGACCATGCCGAGCCTCTCGCCGGAAAATCTAGGCAGTCGGTGATTGGCTCAAAAGGTTGTTTATACAAGTAGCTTAACGTTTTTTAAAGTTATAACTGATTACATTACACTTATATCACATAACTACATATATATATATATATTGATTATACAGTAAGCAGTTACCTGCACACCACAGGACCTTAGACAACCCTTAATCCAGATTGCAAAGCAGTGTGCATATGAGAATGCTGGTGCATCTAAACGTAAAGACTTCTCAAAGCCTAACGGTCTCTTGGATTTTCATGCTACCACACGATTTCTTCACAAGCCCACTTTCCAAACCCCTGAGTGGCCATCCGCAGTCCACCGATGTCATCGTTGGATGCACACTGACTGGAGACCGTTTGTTTGCAGCAGGTTGGTCTTCAACGGCCGAGTGCCGCTTCTCCGGACGGGTCAAGGAATCCCTGTCACACCTAGTCCAAGACTGTGAAGTGTATATATCATGCTTTGACCTCTCGGCCCGTGTTGCATGATCTAGGAGTCAACTTCGCCCTACTTGGCCTGATTGAAAATCCCTGTCGTTTGTCCCAATTTCGCTTGCAATCCGAGGTTGCACGGCTCAGTGATGCTGTTATTTTCGACCCGGATCTTGGAACCAAGGAAACTTGGACGGACGGCTCAGTTTTGTGGCAAGAGAACTTCTGGATTACGACCGCAGCATACGCAGTCATTGACAAAGAAGGAAGAGTCTTGCATTCAGGCAGAGTGCGACGCTGGTCGCTATCAAGCTACGTTGTTGAATTGTGGGCAATATGGATAGCTTTCTCTCAATCGGATTCAGCAGTTCACATTTATTGCGACAATCAAACGGTGGCAACTTCATCGAGTTCGCCAACAATGTCACCCGCAAGCGAGGGCGTGCCGGACAACATGCTTGATCCCTCCACTGTGAATGCTCAAGGATCCTCGATCTTCAGACCGAATGGCCAAGGCCTTCGCTTCAAGAATAGCACCTGCCTTTCCACATATGCCCAAAGTTGTAAGTGCCGCCGCCATTTTTGCACCACGAATGGCTTGTACGACTTCATGCGAATCTTGGCACGCACTCCTCAGAAGAGGAACTTCCTTCAGATCCATCTTGCAGGCCAGATGGATCAGAGCAGGAGCTAATGGTTACAGCTGCAAGGAAGATGTTTCCTTTGTCGGAGTGGAGTCCAAGTCGGGCTCATTTTTCTTGGGCCACGCAGGTGGCGATATACAGCACGTGACTGGCACACCATCTGTAATTTTGCACGTCACCTTCGTTGGAAGCCGAAAGCTGACACTGCCATCTCGTTTTGTGAACTGGCCGTGATCTTCCACAGAACAGGTTGGAAGCTTGAAGCTGATCACCAAATACAGCAAATTCACGATGTTACATGCCAAATCTGACAAGCTTTTTGAACTTTTGCTGAAGGACGAAAGAGTCCAACTATGTCCAGGAGACTCTTCGGCGACATTCGTCAAGTCGGCCGGTCGTGTACTCCCACAGAGTGCCATTATACATGCAACACCCTTGGTCGAAGACCATATCTTGCAGTATCTCGCACAAACATTGTGCTCAGGTTGTGGACGCACGATTGAATCGTGGAGGACACCTTTTCTCTCCTTTTACTGCAGTTGTTCACCTCCCTCTTGGTGAACCTGTGCAGTTGGGGTTACAGCATGTTAGGACCAGAGAGTCCTACGTGCCATCGTCGCGGAGTGAACCGTCCGATGCGTGGGTAATATACAGTAAGCAGTCAGTTAAGCCGCCTTTAGGCCCATTCCCTGAGGCGAGCTCACCGTCCTCCAAGCACAGTCGCTACACCCACTTTATGCACCATGTGCACAGCTCAGCAGGCACTTCAACCATGCGCACGCAGTATCACTCGGCCACTTCAACCCTACGGAAGTTGCTGCGGAACTTCCTGTGATGATGAATCTGAACTCTGAGTTGAAGGGCTGCGGGATGCGTTCTATGCCCAACCAACTGTTTCATTCCATGATGTTTGCATGGCAGGCAATGCCCAGTGTCTTGAACATCTGTCTTGAGACTCCCATGCACCACAAAGAAAATTGAACTCAACAAAGTCAGAATGACATTCTTTGTGCTGAAGCGAGTCGCGCCGATTCAAGCCCACATACTGTACCAACTGCCCAAGCCTCCAACTGATTGTTTTCCACGAGGCAGATCTGAAGCAGGCTCTGGCACATCTTATGTGCTGTCCGTGATGAATTGTGATTCTGCGAAGCCCCCCCGATGTACAAATGTATGACATAAAGGCAATGTTGCGCATAATTCGGGGGGAGTTCCAGGTGAGCTTCCTACAAGAGTTCTGAGACTATTAGTATTTCTGCACGTCCTGCCTGTCCAAAACTGCAGATTGCATGGTGGGTCACCTTGATGTCTGACAAGCAAATAGTGTTTGCTCCTTTCCAAGGGATTTCGATGGGATCACACCTAGTTCGTAATCTGATCTCATCTGCTTGCACCAAAGGTACGCCGCACCAAGCTATGCAAGGGTCGCTTGGACCCTTGACTTAAACTGAGCTTTTTTGCAGGACTGCACATTGTCTTCCGATTGCTGCTTCACCAGATGCTCTCAAAACAACAACATTCAAAAAAACACATCTGAAAAGGTTCAAAGTTTGAAAGGTCATCATCCCATCAGCAGTCCTAGCATTGATACGCACCAGGCATGAGCACTCAGCTCTCGACTCTAGGTTTGGATGATGCTTGATCACAGTCTACATGCCTTACAGGCCTAGCTGGAGGCAGCTTATGCATTTTCAGTAGCTGTCTTGGGCAGCTCTGTAATCTTTCCAATTGCAATGGTTCTCCCATCCACCCGGAGAGTGAAGCGGCCCAGCTGCTGCGAAGACTGAAATGTATCCACAGCTGTTGGTCTTGCAAGCTTGATGCTGCAAACAACAACTGAATCCGGCCTAGCAAACTGTGGATTCTTCTCTTTCTTTTTGGTCTGGATGACCATCGTCTCGTAGAGCTTTAGAATCTCACACTCTTCACTGGCTGTGTGTGCATGCATGACAGCAACATACCCTGAAGTCATGACAGGTCTGTCCGGGCCTAGCTCAATCACATGGATGGTGGCTTTGAACTTGGAGACGACAGGAATTGGGGTTTTGTCGGCACAAAGGACGTAGCCCTTTTTGAGTTCTTCGTCGCTGATGCCTGACATCTTCAAGGTCACATTTTCGCCGCACGTTGCATACTGCATGTCAACGTCGTTGATAAAAACTGAGGTCACCGTGCACTTGTTGTAGGTTGGCATCACGATGCACTTCATGCCGGGTTTTATGGTACCCTGCTCAACCTTTCCGATCGCAGTGACAGCACCCATGTCTTTGTAGCCCTCCATCATTGGAATTCTGACAGGTCCTTCGGCCTTGCGAAGTACTGTGATGCCGTCAAGGGCGTCAAGCAAGGTCGGGCCTTCATACCAGGAAGGAGTGCCCTTCTTCTCTTTGATGTTATCACCCATCAAGCCGGACATTGGTAAGAATATCACTTGTTCATCCTTGTAGCCACTCTTCTTTAAGAAGGCGCCAATCTTTTTGACAATCTCGTTGTACCTTTTCTCGTCCCATTGCACCGTAGGGTCATCCATCTTATTCACTGCGCACACCAGCTTGTCAACTCCTAAGGTCTTGGCAAGAAGTGCGTGTTCGCAAGTCTGTCCCCCTTTCTCGAAGCCAGTCTCAAACTCACCCTTCCGGGCAGATATGAGCAAGACACCAACATCTGCTGCTGATGCTCCGGCAATCATATTCGGCACGTAAGACTTGTGCCCGGGAGCATCAAGAATTGTGAAACGCCTGTTTGGAGTTTCAAAGGCTGCTCGCCCCACCTCGACAGTCTTGCCCTTGACTTTCTCCTCCTCGCTGGTGTCCATGATGAAGGCAAGGAACCAACTTTCACCTGCTTTCCCTGCTGCCTCCTGCTTGTATTTCTCGATTGTGCGGTCGTCCACCATGCCACACAAGAACAAAATGTTGCCGCATGTGGTGGACTTCCCAGCATCTACATGGCCAATGAACACAACATTGAGATGTGGGCGGGGGTCTGGAATCTTCTTCTCTGAATCTTTCCCCGATTCCAGTTTCACCTCATCTTCCTCCTCCTCTACAGCTTCTTCAGGCGGAGGGGCAACTTCAGGCTGCCTTTCTTGCTTCTTAACCGTTGGCAACGGCTCTTCTGTCTCTTTTGGTGCTTCTTTCTCTTTCACCTGTTCTTTTTCTTTTGGCTTTTCTTCAATTTTGGGTTCGTCCTTCTCCGCCTCTGCTTCCCAATCCTCAGGCTCGTCTTGAGCTTGCGGCACTTCTTGGGGTTCCTCTTTTGCCGGCACCGCCTTTGGCTCCGTCTTTGGGGCCTCAGCCTTGGTCTCAGGCTCCGGCAGCTCGCCACGTTCAAAGGCTGCCGCCCGTGCTTTTGCTGCTGCTCTAGCCTCTTCCTGTCAATTCTCCCATGCAGCCATACAGTCAGAAACAATGCAGCAACACCTGGTTGCCTGCAAAGCAACAAGCATCACATCTAGAATCTAGTGTCAACAGAAGCTGGGAGCCGTCTGTCTGTCCTGCTGTTTCAGCTGTTTTTCCTTCCTCTCAGCTGCCTTCCTCTTCTGTTCGGCTTGATATTGATCCAAGGTCATTTCCTTGGCCAGCAACACTGTTGGACGAAACCAACAATTCAATATAAGCACACGCACAGAAAACAACAACCTTGCAGCTGAAGCACATTGGGTTCCGGCTTCTTCTCGGACTTGCCGGACTTGCCACCGCCGCCCTTGCTACTTCGCTCCTGGGAAATCATGCCGTTGTCAGGCATTGCAGGCCACATTAAGATCACTAAGGCGTCTGTTCTCAAAGCGTGCGACCTGTTAACAGGGTAGCAGGTAGAGAGCTCAAGGGGCCGCCCCTGTGCAGCAAAGGCTGCCGCAAAACTGCCATGAGACCAACGGAGCGACAAAAGAGGCGGGGCGTCCAAACCCTCAGTTGGGAGCCTCCAAGCCCTGCTTCACGGCACGGAGTTGAATGCCAAAAGGCAAACCGCTGGGCCAAGAAATGCCCCCATACAATGTGAAAACCTTCCAACTATATAATTTACTTGTCAACTGGCACCGGACACCAAGCAACTACACCATGCTGAAATGAAACTCAAAGGGTCTGAATGTGAGTAAGTGTGTGTGTGTGTGCGTGTGGGCGGTTGGAAGTTACGAAAGCAGCGCACGAAATGAAGATGTGTTACAGTTCTTGATGAGCCAAGTATCGGAAGTTGCGCTTGCTCCAAAACCACCTTTTCCTCCAGAAGACTTGCCACCTGTACAGGGAGGCCACAACACAGAAATGCAGTCCCTACAGCAATGCACGAGCTTTCAACATTATCAAAAAACTAGAACTAAACCCAAGTGGTTTGCAGGCGCCTTGTTGGCCTTCTCCCGAAAAACCCTTGGAGTTGAAGCCCTGGCCGAAGCCCTGGCCCTGCTGGCCTGGGCCAACTCCAGGCTGACCAAAGCCTTGCCTGAGGACATGTATCGAGGAAAACATGCGGTTCTGTCTGCTCTGCATGTAGCGCTTTGGTGCTTACCAAGCTACTGCTGTGCCATGTAGGCTTGCTGCTGCTGCTGCCACATCTGCTGTTGCTGGTACATCATGTTTGGGTCGTAGCCATACCCTTGCCTTGGCAGCGTTAAAATTTGTAAGCCCTCACCATCTTCAACAACGCACTCAAGCTTACATCCAAGCTGAGCTGGTTGCTGGTAGCCATACCCAAACCCGCCACCATATCCGCCCTGCATTCTAACAATGGAAAGCTAATGCGGCTTTTGCAGCACAGCTCTGCAAAGGAGAGGTTGGGCCAAAACGGCTTCCGTAGCACCGCAAAACCCAGAATCAATTCACAATTGTCAAGCCGAAAGGCGAAAAACATGCGCATCAAAAATCAGGCTGCACTCTCCCATTAACTTTTTTGAGGTGCAACATGCGAAACATTTCGAGCATTGGCAATTAAGCTAAGCGGTCTTCGCCTCCAACGGGTGTGTTCTCGCATGTTAAAACTCCAGCGTGGACCATGCCATGCTGAGTGTGTAAAACGAAGGTAGCTATTGATTGGAAGTCACTGTAAGTGTGTTGCGTTCACTGAAAGCTAGTGTTTGCGAGCCCCGTCCTAGTAAGAAAGGACAGGAAGTCCGCGCGTGAGCTCGCCAGCGCCACAGGCGGGACAATTGCTTGACCTCAGATGTGTCCCGTCCTTTGCCAGCAGCCGAAACCGCAAAAGGTGCGGCAATGAACAGCATGTCAATCCGAATGTGGCATTCCACAATGCCACACGCTTATAATCAGGGTTGGTCAAGGCAACCGAGCAAGCTGCTTTGAAAGTCCAAAATGAGGCCTTCATGACCGAAAAACGGGGTCAAAGAAACTAGACTGATTTCAGCATCGTGTTTGCAGATGGATGGCCACGCACTTGTTTTACTCGAGCCAAACGAGTTAGCGCAAGGTGAGAATGATGAACATGTACAGCCTGGCGCACCCCCCATTGAGCGAAGGTCCACAGGAGTGAAGATACAGTATGTACAGTCAATGCACGAATCAGGGCGAACTGCAACAGCGGCAGCCGGTCCCCCGGCGCGAGCCGAAACCGACCAGATACGCACCCTGAGATGGAGAGGATGCATCAAAGTCAGGACGTGGCTGAGGTGCAATGACGACGGTTTCGCGACATGCTCACAACACCTCGGCTCACGCGTGCAACTGAAGTCAAAAGCGGAAAGGAAGGCCACGCGAACTTCTCCTTGCAAACGGAACGGAATAGCGCATAGGCTGCCTTTCAGAAAGCAAGAGCAACACCTTTACATGGCACATGCCCCAACCAGCGCAATCAAAACAGACATGAGCTGCGACAATAAGTGGCTCTTCGACTCAGTTCAAGGCACACAATGCATTAGCCGCTCGCGCATCTCGAACCTCCAGCCAGTGTGAAAATATTGGCGCGATGCACTTTGGAAACGGTCAGCAGGAGCGGCTGCGAAGGGAACGCAAACTGGCAAGACAAAAGCTTTGTCGCCTGGTGGAACTTCTGTGTAACATTGTTGGGCTTTGAGATTTGGCGCCCGCGCGATCCCCACCAGTCAGTCACGATCCTGGCGATCCTCATGCTCCCAACCGGACTTGGAACGACCTATGAGCTCCGTGAGGACTGCCATCGATCGCGCTGGACACACTTGCGGGTTTGAGCAAGACTGGGTCTTAGCTTTTGGATGCTCAGGGTTCTCGATACACTAACAGGTCCATATCTGGCACAGCGGCCATGTCCCCGGCCATGAAGAGTCCAAGAGCGACTTTTGCAGAGATCAGCTGCGGTTTTGAGGAACAACCCGCAGTTACAGCAGGACACGCGAGGTCTGTCATGGACAAGCAAATGGTCGATTGGGTTGCCACTTTGCCGAACATCTAAGTTCGGATTGTCGGACCGTGGTGTTCTTGATCTCCGTTGGCATGCATGAGTGGACAAGAGCAGAAGCAAACAATAATATACTTCTCTCATCTTATACCTTGAGTCTTCCTTGTCGTGGCCTGTCTGCTTCTCGACTTGCTCTGCTTCATTTGTGTGGTATGACCGACTCCTCATCCCAACGTCTGCGCAATTGAGCTCGCTGCTGGGCGGCTGCCACGGTCAAGACTGGATCCATGGAGGCGACGCGTGCGGCCTATGCCCCATACCTTGAACCATTCAGGCGGATCTGGCCTTCCTATCGCGCCTCCCTCAAGTCATCTTGTTCCAAAGATGTCGCGCGAGCAACCCCCTGAACAGCCCAAGACCTGCAGATCCCCTTTTCCTCCTGGCGCCGATCTTCACTCCAAAGCGCCCGCCGGAAAGGTACATAATGTCTTCCTTCCGCGCGTGACCGCTGTTTCCGCTGTGCCGACTGTCAAGACAAACAAAGGCATGCTCTTCAGCCGGGCCAATTTTCACATCCAAGGTCGCGGCGACAAAATCTTGTAGGCGTCGATCATCATGTGGATTGGCATCTTTATGGGGTCACCACCATCTACGTTGGTGCAAATGCGACTCGCATAATGCGACTGGCTGACCAACTCAATGCGACTGAATTGTTGGAGAGCAAAAGCAAAAGTTCAGGCACCGGTTCCCAGTATCTTTGAATGGGAGAAAGTAAGAAACTTGAATGGCGTCGGTCGCCCCAATCTTTTGAAATTCACATCGCGCCAGGGTCGGGTCGTCCACATTAATCCTTCCCCGTCGCCAAACTCCGCCGAGAGTTGTAGTTAGCTTTGATGCTTCCTGGGATCTGTCAGCCTCATGGTCGTGGGATTCTGCACCATCTCACAACCCTTGCTGTAGACTTCCGCGTTGGTGTGGAAGACAAACTCCTTGGCTTCCCTTGACGATCTTCAAGAGGTACCTGCTGCCGCTCTTCTCCTTCTCCTCCTCCTCCTTCTTCTCAAACCATGGTGCATCCTGAACTTCGACCGTCTCATCTTCCGAATAGATGGCGCGCACGCCCGTTCTAGATGGCACGCACGCCCGTTCTGTCAGGAACGTATAATAGGTTCATCTCTCGAAGGCCTCCACTCCGACCATGCCGCGCAATACGTCCATGCCTCCATTGACACTTCCATTCGGCGTCAAGGCAAACCGTTTTGACTGCTGCACCCTGACTGGTCGAGAGCTGAGGCCGGTGGACGACTGTGTTGCCACACTTCGACCTGGCTTTAAACCTGGAGCCCGTCACACGCCCGATCAACTTCAGAGGCCCTGCAAGTAGAATGTCGAGAGGATATAAACACAATCTCACCGCTCTGCGTTTGGCCTTGCCTGTCATGTCTTTGAGGTGGCAGGTAGCACCAAAATCCTTCTCCACCACATCCCCATCGTTGGCCATAAAGGGGTGTATGTGGAGACGGCCGGGGGCCCGGACCAAAGACCAGCTGAGAAAACCTACACCTGCCGAAGCCGTAAGAATCCGGCCAGAGAATGTCTTCTTCGGCTCTGCCCGGGTCGCTTTCCTGCCGGCCCCGCGGGGCCTCCAAACACTTTGTCTACTTCACTCCAGCACGGCTGCCACCAACAGACGGGTTGTCCGGTCTTTGACCACACGACGAGAGACCAACGATTTCCAAAGTTCTAACTGCACACCAGCTCACAAATTCTCTCGTCTTGGGCCTCGGTTCTTCGTAGAGCCCCGCCAACAAAAAAAGCTCCAGAGGCCAAAGTCCGTGTCCTCGATCGTGTCGTGGTGGGCGACCCGGCGCTCGTAGCGCCACATGCGTAGCTGGAGCGAGCTCTTACGACACGCTCCGCCCCGCCCGTGCAAGGCGCAAACGCCTATTTTGTCCTGCGAAATGGAGCCCCGCGGTCGAAACCATGCCTGAGTGACTTGAATCACCTGTCCTGCAATGTTCGACATGATTCTCGCTTGAATTTGGATCTGTCTCCCCCTTGAATTGGTCCCTGGTACTGCGTCCGTTGAAACTCAATAAAGCAGGGTCTGACTTCATGAACTTGTGGCCCTCCCACAAGAAATGACAAAGGCCTACCGCCAACACGTGCGTGCACCGGCGTTTAACTAAGGGACCGACCTCACTGAATGAGGTAAACCTGCGACCCTTCAAAGCTCAACGCTGACCGCAAACACTGCTCACAGTGAAACAGTGGAAGACATGCAACACGCCTAGCTCTGCCAGGCATTGAGCCTCCCAGGCGACACTTTAAAAAGGACACAAACTGCAGAGGAACACCAGGCCTCGGCCAAAGACTGCAGCACAAACGGAGCCTGAAAGGCACGAGCTCAACATGAAACAACCTTGCTTCTAGACAGCACTTCCACGAAAAACAACGCTAACAAGTGTATTTATAATGTATATATCTTGAAACAGCTTGGGGCCCAATAAGCGAGGCCTAGCGCACATGTTCGCGCGTTTGCAAGGCCCCGCCAACAACTCACCAGCTGGAGTAGGCCATCGCCAGCGAACCCCATTAGAGTAGCTCTGGCAACCGGAGCTTGGCAACGCAAACGATACTGCGACGGCAACGGTTCCGTTCTTTCACTTTGTCCTCTTGGGGTTGAGCCCCCGGTGTTGCCAGGAAACACCGGCTAGCGTGACGCAAATCGCACAGCTTCAGTTCCGAGAAGTCGACAGCCAGCCTCATGAAATGCTGAGAATCACGCGCAGTCAACTGTCCGCAACACCAAGCCCGCGGCAAAGCGCTGCAAGTGTCACACGTCTTTGCCAAGAAATCTAAAGGAGCACCACAGCCAGGGCAAGCCTCGACAATACTCCGATACTAACACAGAACTAAAAATATGTACACATATACAGTCATATACAGTATATCAAACGATAATGATATTGTTTTCTTCATGCGTTGTCCTCGCGTGTACCAGGGTGCACGAAGGGCTTTCTTTTTGTAATGAGGTGGCCACACAAAGCATCGCTGCACTGCTCCGCCCTGCTTGAAGACCATGGCGAGTAGCTTCGGCCAGATAAAGCACCTCGAAAAGACAAACACCAACAAAGCTTCCTCAGACTGCAAGATGCCCTGGCCTGGCTATGCTGCTCACTGTCCAAGTAGGGGGCGTAGTTCTCCAACAAGACCTGCCGGCTTATTATTGAAGTAGACTTAGACTTAGACGCATTGGGCTTGTGGCTGCAATGAGGTGTGACTCCAGCCACTATAATGCCACATGCTTATACATGCTTCATACAAGGTGAACCTCCGGCACAGCCGGTGGGCTGTAGAAAGTTCAATCATTAACTATAGGACTGTGATTGCTTTGATGAACGCAAGCGAGGACTTGTTGGCGATGAAGGACATCTTATGTGGTGGTGAAAGGTAGCATGGTGAGATGTAACGAAGTGAAGGGTAGTGCGGTGATTTGTACTTGGGTGACGTGAAGTTCCGCCGTGCAAAGACACCCGACTACCACACTGGACTGGGGATTTATACACTCGGCCGGGCACCGAGCAGACGGACATTGGGTAGAGGATGAGATGCAATCAATCTTCTGCCAGAAGCAAGGAGAAAAGGATGCTTTCATGGTATGGATGGTGAAAGCACCCCTCGAACAAAGCACTTGTAAACAATACGCGTGCTGAGCTCCGAAATACGGTGGGTGTTGCTCGAGCCACAATCCAACAAAACACAAGAGTCGTTAGAAGATGTTAGAAGGCCTGCGCAACTCAAAGTGAAAGCAGCTGCACTGGCGTAACTCATCCACTGCAACCAAGCACGCGCAAGGTCAAAAGGAGCATCTCCTGACATGGGTATTTTTCAGCTGATTGATGTGGCTATCGGATCCTTCTCTGGGATGGTCTCAGTGAGCCTTTCCGCTAAACTCAACGCAGCCGTCGGTCGAGAAAAGCGGAATGAGTTCTGTCCCACTCGCGAACCAAGGACAAACACCGGCGGGATCTGCAGTCGCTCGCATGTATGGGCGTGGCACACGTCAAAGGATCGTCAAAGGCATTTTTTCATGAGTTCACATGCTTACACTAATTGACATGTTTCCACTCATCCCTTGGGTTTTGCTTCTGCAGCGGTTGGATTCGGCTTTGGTTGTGAAGCTGTGCTGGCGGTACCGGAGGGGATTTTGCTCAAGCAGTAGCATTCTCCACGCAAAACTGCACTCAAACAGTGTCACATGGTCGAGCATGCAAAACCACTCCGCTGAAGTGCACTCACTCACTCACTCACTCACGCACGCACTGACATATTCCTTTACTTCGACGCTCATGGTTCTTTACATTCATCTTGTCTCATTTCTTCCCCACATCATTGGGTGGGGTTCTTGTTTATCATCGACTCTGCACCCGCCGCTCCGCGTCCGCACTCCTTCGCGTCCGCCCTCCGCCGAGTGGACGCGTGCATGCCGCTGGGTCGCGGCTGCCTTTCGTGTGGCAGGTACAGCACTTGGTGAACCTGGAGTACAGATTTCGTGGCAGGCGCAGTACACAGAGCTTTGAGGAGGACCGGGTGGACGTGGCTGGTGGGCCGCGGCTGCCTTTTGTGTGGCAGGCGCAGCACTTGGTGAACTGTGGCAGGCTCAGCGCACAGAGCCGTCAGGAGGACCGGGCACGTGGGCGCTGCTGGGCCGCGGCTGCCTTTTGCGTGGCAGGCGCAGTGCTTGGTGAACCTGGACTGCAGATTATTTCGGCGCAGACGAGGACTGGATGAACGCGTGGGCGCCGCAGCTGCCTTTCGCGTGGCAGGAGCAGCGCTTGGTGAAGATTTCGTGGCAGGCGCAGTACAAAGAGCCGTCAGGAGGACTGGATGGACGCGTGGGCGCCGCTGGGCGAAGGCGCAGTGCACGGCCTTCAGGAGGACTGGATGGACACATGGGCGCCGCTGGCTATGGTCTTTGTGTGTTTTCTTGTCCAGTTCAAGCACTCCCAAACTTTGTGCAGTCACGCTACAGTACTGACGCATGGCTCAACTGTATTCTGTATTTAACGAACTGTTTTCTGTGTTTTTCACGGCAGGCTTCCATACTCACAACGCTGTTGTTGTCACGAGGCACCCCTGCATTTTTTTTAAAACATCTTTTGCTTCTCAGCGATAGATAGATAGATAGATAGATGGATGGATGGATGGATAAATAGACAGATAGATAGACAGATATATAGATAGGTAGATAGATAGATTGTTAAATAGATAGTTAGATAAATAGATATATATATGTATGTATAATATATACACGTCGGGCCTTTTGCTGTCGAACTGTCAGGCTTCTGGTCACAAGTGCGACATTTTCAGTGGCCGCTTCGATGATTGCGCCGCAGGCTGGTGGTGACATGTCTGAAAAGGCCACTGATAGCTTTCGTCTTCAGTCTCCGACCAGGCAGACGATCCGCGTGTGCGTCTGAAGTCGGTGTGACAACGGGTGCACACGTGGTGTTGTTGGCGCCTGGTCGAACGGAACAATTCCCGGTTTTGGCGCGTTGTCATGAGGCTAGGGCTGCTCCTACTCGCTACGATGCATGCGATGGCAGCCACACGGGACGGCTTGGATACAGATAACACTCTGTCACTGCGCTACTTACAGTCACATGGACTCATCCTTTTTTCATATTTCTCTTTAAATCATCCATCACCTGCGCCAAGTACTCTGAACTGCACGGAGTGCAGTTGGCACTCGCTGCCTCTGTTCAAAAGAACAGGTGTGCTGCACGTCTTCTGCAGAAGCTCACATTGAACTGACCTACAATAGAAGCTACACCCACACACTCGGTCTCTCTCACTCCCTCAATCATTCACTTTTATCGTCCCGTATCTTTCCGTCCTCTTTTCTGATCAGTCTCTACTTCTCATTGCTAGTTCTTACACGCTTAACATGTGATGTATTAAAACTAGATGGAGCCCACGAACCCAAATGCAAACACGTTCAAAAAGCTACATATGTCCAAATGACACTCTTGTAGGACACTCTTGTGGGACACTCTTGTGGGTCACTCTTGTAGGAAACTCTTGTGGGACACTCTTACGGGACACTCTTGTGGGACACTCTTGGACACTCTTGTGGGACACTCTTGTAGGGCACTCTTGTGGGACACTCTCAAGGGACACTCGGAAGAGACACTCTTGCGGGACACTGTTGCAGGACACTCTTGTGGGACACTCCTGTGGGACACTCATTTGGGACACTCTTGCGGGACACTCTTGCGGGACACTCTTGTGGGACACTCTTAAGGGACACTCTTGTGAGACACTCTTGCGGGACACTGTTGCGGGACACTCTTGTGGGACACTCCTGTGGGACACTCATTTGGGACACTCTTGCGGGACACTCTTGTGGGACGCTCTTGTGGGACACTCTTAAGGGACACTCTTGTGAGACACTCTTGCGGGACTCTTGCGGGCCGCTCTTGTGGGACACTCTTGTAGGACACTCTTGTGGGACACTCTTGTGGGACACTCTTCTAGGACACTCTTGTAGGAAACCCTTGTGGGATACTCTTGTAGGACACTCTTGTGGGACACTCTTGTAGGGCACTCTTGTGGGACACTC